GTTGACTAGAGGTGTTGCGATATTTTATTGAGATGATCTTAGACCTGGACGTTAAAGGGCACTGCTGCTTGTGTGTTCTGTCTGGATGAACACATGATTGTGCTGGGATGAGGTTTTAGCCTACAGGGAACAAGGTCCAGGACTATGTAGATCACGTTGTACAATACCCAGGGCAGCATGACTCTGCTTAGGGTCTGAATCACACTCTTTTGTTGATAATGATGCAGAGGATGCTAGTCACAAAACTGATGATGATGTTGATGTTGATGATAATGGAACGTCCATTTACTGACTCAGTCAGAGTCACAGGAGGATTTAATTTTAGTACTGGTTTATTGCAAGGTACTATTTGCTTTTTTTGGTCAATTTTTTTTTTTTTTTTTGAGATGGAGTCTCACTCTGTCACCCAGGCTGGAGTGCAGTGGCATGATTTCGGCTCACTGCAACCTCTGCCTCCCGGGTTCAAGTGATTCTCCTGCCTCAGCCTCCTAGGTAGCTGACATTATAGGCATCTGCCCCAATGCCCAGCTAATGTTTGTATTTTTAGTAGAGCCGGGGTTTTACCATGTTGGCCAGGCTGGTCTTGAACTCCTGACCTCAAGTGATCCACCCACCATGGCCTCGAAAAGTGCTGGGATTACAGACATGAGCCACCGCGCCCGGCCTGTTTTTTTTTTTTTTTGAGGCAGGGTCTCACTCTGTCACCCAGGCTGGAGTACAGTAGTGATCCTGAGCTCAAGTGATCCTCCTGCCTCAGCCTCCCCAGCAGCTGGGATTACAGGTACGCACCACCATGCCTGGCTAATTTTTAAAACTTTTTTGTAGAGACAGCATCTCACTATGTTATCCAGGTTGGGTCTCAAACTCCTGGCCTCAAGTGATCCACCCAACTCAACCTCCCAAAGCATTGAGATGACAAGGCCAACCTTTTACTTGAGGTAAAGTTTACATTCGAGGTACAGTTTACATATAATTACATGCTCTAATTTTAAGAATAGTTGATGAGTTTTGGCAAACTTATTTCCCTGTTTAACCAGCATCCCATCAAGATATAAAACATTTTTTATGTCCCTTTCCATTTAACCCTGACCCAAACCCTCTAAATTTTTTTTTTTTTTTTTTGTTTTTTTTTTTGAGATAGAGTCTCGTCTCTGTCACCACGGCTGGAGTGCAGTGGGCGGATCTTGCTTACCTTGCTCCTGTCAACTGTGATTCTCCTGCCTCAGCCTCCCGAGTAGCTGGGATTACAGGCATGCACCACCATGCCCAGCTCATTTTTTTTGTATTTTTAGTAGAGATGGGGTTTTGCCATGTTGGCCAGGCTGGTCTTGAACTCCTGACCTCAGGTGATTCTCCCGTCTCGGCCTCCCAAAGTGCTGGGATTACAAGCGTAAGTCACCATGCCTGACCCCTCCAAACTTCTTGACCTTGTGTCCAACAAACTCCTAGTCATCACCCTCAAATTATGTTAATCCTTGCCTCTGCACCTTTTGTTGTGCTGTTCTCTGTGAGGAAACTTTGTTTGCCCCTACACCTGGTTAACTTCCTATCTTCTTTAAGACTCCTCTTCCAGGAAGCCTTCCTGATCTTCTCTTCCATTCAGGCTGGGTGAGGTGCCTTTCCACAAAACCCTGTATTGCATTGGCTACATCTTCATTACACATAGATTTTATTTTATAACTTTTTTTTAAATATTCTTTTTCCACTTTAAACTCTGAGCTCCTTGAGACAGGAACTGGATCACATTCTTTTTTTCCTTTTTTATATTTGTATTTTTCTGGTCTTATTCTCATAGAAAGGACTGAGTCATATTCTGCTTTGAATTCCAGACTCTACCACAATGGCTGGCAAACAATATGTTTGTTGATTAAATAAATCGATGAATTACATCAATTTTTTTCCCCCAGGACACGGGCATGAAACTTTGAATACCATATTACATGACAGGCTCTTTCAGTTGCAAGAAACAAAGACTCAGATAATGTGGGAGGATTCCCGAAGACACCCTTGCCCTTGGGAAGGCACTGACCCAGCTTAATCTGAGGGGCTTGTCTGTGTCATGGCCCCTCCCGCTGCTCTCCGTTCAGCTTGTTTGCTTCCCTTTTTTTCTTTTCTTTTATATGTATATTTTTTTGAGACAGAGTCTCCCTCTGTTGCCCAAGCTGGAGTGCAAATCTCGGCTCACTGCAACCTCCACCTCCCAGGTTCAAGCGATTCTCCTGCCTCAGCCTCCCGAGTAGCTGGGATTACAGGCATGCGCCACCACACCCAGCTATTTTTTGTATTTTTAGTAGAGATGGGGTTTTGCCATGTTGACCATGCTGGTCTCGAACTCCTGACCTCAGGTGATCCACCAGCTTCAGCCCCGCAAAGTGCTGGGATTACAGGCGTGAGCCTCTGCGCCCAGCCTGGTTGCCTCCCTTTTCTGATCGGCTGCTTCTGCTCACCTTTCATTTTGCCTTCCTCATAACTTCAGCTTGCGTTTGGTCTCAGCTTCCTGTGGCCCTGACTTTATCTGACTCAAGCTGACATTTGTGAAGGTAATAATCTAACAAGCTCCTCTCCGTTTTTCAGATCCACGTCATGGTCCTATCGTGTGGGGAACTGGCCTCTCGGTCCCATGCCCCGCAGCTCTGGTCCAGTGAGCAAAGGTGGGTCCCACAAAACATAGTTGCTTGGAGAGCAGGGCCTGATAGAAGGGATGGGGAGGAGAGTGGCAGGCACTGAGGCCTCTCCTATCCTATTAGTGAGCAAAGCGCTTTGTATTCTTGCCTCTCTTTGCTCCTGAATAATTTTTCTCATCCTTCATTTTAGGAAAGCCACTTATCTTCTCGATGCTTAGGGTTTCTAGAGATAAGGGATGCTGAAGTTGGAAGGAACTTCATAGCTCATCTTCTTGGTCAGATCCCAGCATGTGCTCTGCATGACAATAGGCTCAAAAGATGCTTTATTAGAAAAAAATCAAGATATTCCAGCATTTTCTTAGGATTTCAGCTCACACCAGGAGCATACTTCTCAGTGGTTCCATTTGCTTGGCAGAATCTCTGGTCTTCCGCATGGACGGATCGCTGCAGCCTCCGGGGTCCTCTAAATTGGAGGCTCTGAATCAGGGATTCCTGAAAAGGCACAGGAGGGCCCAGGCATGAACCTCTTGAAATTGTTTGCAAACTTCAGTCAGTGTTGTGTGAATGTGTGTGTATGTGTGTGTATGTGTGTGTGTGTTCCTGAGTGTCCATAGTTTTCATCAGATTCTTACAGGTAAATATCACCTGTGAGAATGGATAAGAACCACTGCTTTTTTTTTGAGACAGAGTCTGACTCTGTCACCCAGGCTGGAGTGCAGTGGCTCAGTCTTGGCTCACTGCAGCCTCTGGGTTCAAGTGATTCTTGCGCCTCAGCCTCCTGAGTAGCTGGGATTACAGGTTGCGCCACTAGGCTGATTGATTTCTGTATTTTTAATAGAGATAGGGTTTTGCCATGTTGGCCAGCCTGGTCTCAAACTCCTGACCTCAAGTGATTCGCCTGCCTGGGCCTCCCAAAGTGCTGGAATTATAGGCGTGAGCCACCACAGCCAGCCAAGAACCACTGCTTTAAAGGGACATTGGTTGACTGTGCCTTTCTAAGGTAAACGCCTTCTTGTTTTCTTCCAACTTAAACATTTTATCTGCTACACTCAATAACCATCGAGTATGTTTAAGAGAAAGTGCTTTATATGACAAAGCAGAAGGGCTCTTGATAGTAACTTAGAGGCTTCATCCTTGCATTTTTCTCAAGATGAAAATGCTGACATAATGTGTCAGTGTAGGTTCATCAATTGTAACAAATGGGCCACTCCAGTGGAGGATGTTGATCATGGGGGAGGCTGTGCGTGTGTGGGGAGAGGGGATATATAACATGTCCCTATACCTTCTGCTCAGTTGTGCTGTGAACCTAAAACTGCTCTAAAAAATAAAGTCTATTAAAATAAGCAAACCAGCCAGCTGCAGTGGCTCACTCCTGTAATCCCAGCACTTTGGGAGGCCGAGGTGGGCAGATCGATTGAGCCCAGGAGTTTGAAACCAGCCTTGGCAACATAGTGAAACCCTCTCCACAAACAATTTTTGTAAAAATTAGCTGGGGGTGGTGGCGCATGCCTGTAGCCCCAGCTACTGGGGAGGCTGAGGTGGCAGGATTGTTTGAGCCTGGAAGGTTGTGGCTGCAACGAACCGTGATCACACCACTGCACTCCAGCCTGGGTGACAGAGCAAGACCCTGTCTCAAAAAAAAGTTAAACCACAACAACAACAGCAAACCCCAATCAACCAACCAACTAACCGAAACACTAAGAACCAGAGAAGTAAAACATAATTCGCTCAATGCCAGACAGCTAGCCCGGTGAGCACTATAACCTTCCCCTCTTCCTTCTTCACTTCTTTGCTCTCTCTTTTTAAACCCACATCTTAGCAATTCCTGTGCTGTTGGGTCAATAAATCGCCACCTCTAATTTTTTTTTCTAAGCATTTATTGAGGGCCAAGCACTGTGTTACACATCTCCTCATTAAAATGGTATAGCAACCTTTTCTATATGATCCTCTTCCATATAGCAACCTCATCTATTATGATCCCATTTTCCAATTTTTACTTTTGAGTGAAGGACATTGACACTTAGAGATTGTAAGGAACTTACCCAGGGCTGCCGGCTTGTTAATGGCAGAGCTGAAATAGGAAAGACCGTATTTTCCACCGCGCTGCATTAGTGAGGGCTCTTTGTGCCACTTCTCTGCATAACTCCGCCCCAAGTTAAATGTCTCGCTCATCCCACCAGGTCCCCCTCCTCCTCCTGCTCCTCCTCCCCGGGCCCTGCCCTGCGGGTCTCACCTGCTGCTCCGCGGGGTCCCGGCGAGGGGCGGACAGCGCCCCCTGGCGGCAGGTGGGCGCCCGCGCAGCGCATGCTAATGAGCCCGCGGCACCGCTCGCGGATTGGCTGGCGCGGATTCCAGCTGCTTTCCAAGTCAGCGGCGCCTAGTGAGAGTCAGGGGGGCCCGGCCCGCGCCCTCCCCGCCCAGCCGCCTCTCCGTCGACGCCCAGGGCTAGGGCGAGCCAGGCTGCCTTTCGAACTTGGGGGGCTTCTCCTCTTGTCTCCCACTGGTGCTCTGGCTGTGAATCCATCCAGGGGCCAAGATGACAATCCGACACCAAGGCCAGCAGTACAGGCCGAGGATGGCATTTCTCCAAAAGGTAATCCTGGCCCCTCACCTGGGCCCTGGGAGGCGGGCGGGGGACCGCGTCTGCGAGGCGTCCGAGGACACGTGGGGCAGGAGTGGAGGGCACCCCTTTGGGTCGATTTGTGCTGCTCGATTTTATTAAGTGACTTCTTTGCTGTGTGTGTCGATATTGATGACTATAATAATTAGGTTTTCGTGTGCCCTGCCTGTAGTGGAGAATCTGAAGCCAGCGCGGATGGTCTGCGGGAGGTGAAAACAACCTGTTACTCGGGAGAGGCAGGTTCAGTTCAGGCTGTGGCAGATTTGAGACAGCCTGCTGATATTGTTGTAAGACGACCAGATGTGACATTACCATTTTTGCCTTTTTTTTCTGATTCAAAACTGCACTATTTTAAAGTGTGTGTGTGTGTGTGTGTGTGTGTACACATAGCCCATGAAAACGGGGTGATTTGTAGGATAAAGGGCCACCTTAAAGAGCCCTCATTTGAGTGTGTCTATCTGTGCATCTCCCGCTGTCTGCGCTGGCGGCAGAAGTCCCAACCTTTTCGCTTCCCTTGTGAATGCTTTCCCAGACAAAGTGTCCGGGCACAGGGTGTGCACACAGGATGGACATGTGGGAGGTGGAATGCACCTGTGGGGTGATGTGTGTAGGGACAAAGTGGTTCATTTAGTTCTGAGCTTCTGAGATAATCACTGTCAGAAGAGATCTATGGAGGATTCGGTCCTGGGTCACGTCTTTGTCCTTCCTCCCACCCATAGCCACTTTTCACAGCGTAGTGTCCATCTTCTTAGGCTTATCTTGTTAAGTAGAATTAGTGGAATGTTTTGTGACGAGCTGGGCTCTCCCTGAGCCCCTGGAGCTCAGCAAATTGGTATAGTCGGTGACCACTGTCCTGATTTGCCCAGGACTTTCAGTGCTAAAACCGGGACAGTCCTGGGGACCCCGGGACAGTTGGTTGCATTTGGTCCACCTACTTCAAGATGCTCGTGCTCATCTCCTGGGTAGTAGAGGTGTGGGTATCATCCATAAAGCAGACAGGCTGGATGTTGTTTCCCTCAGAAAGAACCCTGAGAGCCTGTATTGCAGATACCAGTTACTAAAAGCAGAAGAAACTGCCTAAGTCGGCTATCTCAAAGCCACACATCATCTTCCAGGATTTACCCTAGGACTGCCTCCTCCCAGGCAGGACAGCTCTGGCTTGGGGGCTCAGAGAGTAATTGTCTGGAGATACTCAATTTGTTTATTGAATCTCTGGCATTCTTTTCCATCACGACTCTTCTCTAGTAGATTCTCCTCTCTTTACCTTGGTCTTCTAACTAGTGTCTTGGTCTCTAGTCTCTCCTCCACCCCAGGCTGCCCTCCTCCTCCCCAGCCACCCCTCCTCCACCCCAGCATCCTCTCTTCCACCCTAGCCTCCCCTCCACCCAAACTCCCTCTCCTCCACCCTAGCCTCCCCTCCTCCACCCAAACTCCCTCTCCTCCACCCTAGCCTCCCCTCCTTCACCTAAACTCCCCATCCTCCACCCCAGCATCCCCTCCTCCACCCCAGCATCCCCTCCTCCACCCTAGCCTCCCTTCCTCCACCCAAACTCCCTCTCCTCCACCCTAGCCTCCCCTCCTCCACCCAAACTCCCCATCCTCCACCCCAGCAAACTCCCCATCCTCCACCCCAGCATCCCCTCCTCCACCCCAGCATCCCCTCCTCCACCCTAGCCTCCCTTCCTCCACCCAAACTCCCTCTCCTCCACCCTAGCCTCCCCTCCTCCACCCAAACTCCCCATCCTCCACCCCAGCATCCCCTCCTCCACCCCAGCATCCCCTCCTCCACCCCAGCACCCCCTCCTCCACCCCAGCCTCCCCTCTTCCACCCAAACTCTTCCCTCTCCTCCACCCTAGCCTCCCCTCCTCCACCCAAACTCCCCATCCTCCACCCCAGCATCCCCTCCTCCACCCCAGCATCCCCTCCTCCACCCCAGCATCTCCTCCTCCACCCTGGCCTCCCCTCTTCCACCCAAACTCTTCCTCCTCCACCCCAGTCTCCCTTCCTCCACCCTAACCTCTCCCTCCTACATTTCAGCTCCCCCTCCTCCACCCCAGCTCTCCCCCTCCACCCCAGCTCTCCCCCTCCACCCACCTTTCCCTTCTCCACCCCAGCTCCTCTTCCTCCACCCTGTCTTCCCCTTCCTCTACCCCATTGTCCTCCTCCTCCCCAGCCTTCTCCTCCTCCATCCTAACTTACCCCTCCTCTACCCTAACCTCCCCTCCTGCATCCCAGCTCCCCCTCTTCCACCCCGCCTCCCCTCCTCCATGACATCTTTCCTACATACAGTTTTTTTCCCCCAAATCAATGGTGACCTCCTTAACCTGAAACCCTCCACTGGCTTCCCACATTCCCAGGATAAAGTCCAACCTTCCCCTGAGCACCCTGGCTACCCAGGATCCCGCTCCCACCATCTTCCTGGCTTTGCCTCCTGCCTGCCTGCCTTCCACACCTGCCCTCTGGGAAACAACAAAGCAGCCACAGGCACCCCTGGGCTCCTGCCTCAAAGACTTCCTTCCTTTTTAGGAACCTGTGCCCTTTCATGCCTCAGGGTCCGTCTGCTGGGAAAGTCCTTTCTCCCCCTCTCGCTTGCCAAGCTCCACTTCTCTTCCCATGCCCAGCTCAGCTACCCCTCGTCCGTGAAGGCTGGTTCTCCTAATGCCCCTGGGCAGGACAGCTCCCTTCTCTGTGCCCTACAGACCCTGCCGCACCTCCAGCATTGCTCTTTCCCTAGACCTTGTGCTGGTAAGGGCCCTGTCTATTATCCTGTATATCTGTGTATGTATTGGTCATGTCACAGAGCTCCTTGGAGCAGGGGACAGAATAAAGTTCTGCAGAACAGGCCTCAAGAGCCTGTGCCAGGCAATCCTTAATGAAGACCCAGCTGCATTCTATGTCCAGCTTTCTGGAGAAGGGCCTGGAACTAAAAAGCGTGGACCTGGGTGCAACTGTCACTCACCACTCGTTCTGTGCATGTGATGAAGTACGCTGTCTGTGTCCATGATGGGGTGGGGAGGGGCGTTAATGTGCATTATCTCATCTACTTCATAAGCTGGAGGTTATGGTCACCATTTCACAAAGAAGAAAGCTGAGGCTCAGAGAGTCTAAGCGGCTTGCCAGTCACGCAGCACTAGATGGTGAAACCAGGAAGAAATACAGGAGTGGTCGTTGTCTGTCACAAGTGGTGATGCAATGCCAGGAGCTTTCCCATGATGTAAGGCAGAGTGTGGAGGCTGTGGGAAAGCCCGGCTCAATGTGCTTAGGGACACAGAGCGGAGACCTGAAGGATACACAGGGGTTTCCAGGCAGAAACAGAAAGATGTTTCAGGCAGAGGGACCAGTGCAGGCACAGAGGCGTGCGAAAGCTAGGGGGGTGGGGCCGTGTTCTGTAATGGATGGATTTTGAAGTGCAAGGGGAATGGGAAGCTGGAAAGGAAGGCGGAGGTAGCAGGTGCATATGGGCCTTCAAGACCTGTGAAAGGTTTGGTTTTATCTTGTACAGAGCCACTACAGAAATTGGAATGGGCAAGTGATATGGCAGATTTGCAAATTAAGAAGACCACTGGTGGGCCAGATGCAGTGGGTCATGTCTGTAATCCCAGCAGTTTGGGAGGCCGAGGTCAGCCTGGCCAACATGGCAAAACCCTGTGACTACTAAAAATATAAAAATTAGCGGGGCGTGGTGGTGGGCACCTGTAATCCCAGCTACTTGGGAGGCTGAGGCAGGAGAATCACTTGAACCCGGGAGGTGGAAGTTGCAGTAACTTGAGTTCACGAGTTCATGCCACTACACTCCAGCCTGGGTGACAGAGAGATTCTGTATTAAAAAAAAAAAAAAAAATAGGCCACTGGTGTGAGCCAGAGGAATGGGTGGGATGCCTTCTCCCTGAACTAAGAGAGTTCATTCAGGATCCTCTGTGCCCCTGCAGCTCCAGCCTCTTGAGAAATGACAGCTGTCATGGGGCCAGGGAGAGCCATGCTGGTCAGAAAGGTCCTTGTGTGATTCCTGAGGTTCTCACACCCATGCCTCCATCTCAGTCTCAATGTAACCATGGGTCAGCATGCCCACCAGCCATGCTGCTGCCCACCTCTGATGCCTGGGCTCGTTTAAGATGTGGTAGAAAGAGGCAGAGGCTTTGCTGGGGAATTAGCTGATGGCACACAGTGGACAGATGAACGCAGGTAGGTGGCCTCCTGTGGTTCCGGCACCCATGGACTCTTGTTCTGGGGATGGCCCATTCCCCTTTGCAATTACCAGATCACCCTCCAAGCCAGTACCACCACCGCCCTTGGGATTCACCATGGGATGGACTTTCTTGGGGAAGCCTTCTGGTAGACAGCTTTGTTTTCCTGTGTGGCTTCTGGCAGCTCTTTTTGCCTGAGAAAGGAATGCAGAAGCAGGAATATTGAGGATATTCAGGCAGAGTTTGGCATCTCTTGCTTGTAACGTTCTTTCATTCAATACAGACACATAATTGGGCACTTATGGGCTAGATGCCAGGTCCTGGGAGCACCAAGGAGCTTAGAGTCTAGTGGAGAAAGACAGATATGTAAACAAGGAGACAAGAATTGTTCCATAGGCTGTGACAGACATTGTTAGAGGATACATGTAACACCAAGCAGGGGGTGGTCAGTTCTATCTGGGGTCACGGGGGATCAGGACAGATTTCACAAGGGGGCTTGCAATGGAGTCGAATGATAAGAAGTCAGTAGTTTTTGGCCAGGAGGTTGGGGAAATGAGTGACATTTTAGGCAATACAAAACATGGACATGTAAAGTAGCAGGGTGGTTTGGGAGATTGCCTGGGGGTCGGGAGAGCTGGCTCCAAGTGTGCAGGAAGTGAGCTTGGCATTGATGGAGGGGAAGGTTGGTAGGTAAGAACTCCCCAGAACTGCCCGTGCGGTGGCACACGCCTGTAATCCCAGTACTTTGGGAGGCCGAGGCAGGCTGATCACTAGGTCAGGAGTTCAAGACCAGCCTGGCTAATGTGGTAAAACCCTGTCTCTACTAAAAATACAAAAATTAGCTGGGCGTGGTTGCATGTGCCTGTATTCCCAGCTACTCAGGAGGCTGAGGCAGGAGAATCGCTTGAACCCAGGAGTCAGAGGCTGCAGTGAGCTCAGATTGTGCCACTGCACTGCAGCCTGGGTGACAGAGCGAGACTCAGTCTCAAAACAAACAAAACAAAACAAACACAAAAAACCAAACAAACAAAAAGAAAAGCCCAGAACTGGAGGGCTTCCTAGGTCATGCTACAGAGTTTAATGACTTCTGTGTTTAATGAGAAGCTGTTTGACGTTTGAAAATCAGGGATGAATAAGATGAGTTGGTTTATAAGCTAGAAAGATGATTCTGGTGAGAGGGAATGAGTAATTCTCAACCTGGACTGCACTTTAAAAAACGTTAATATCAACTCACCGTACTTTGAGTTTCTGATTACTTGGCCTGGAAGTGAGGCTTAAGCATTGGTCTTTTTATGCCACTGGTTTTCTTCCTTCCTTTTTTTTTTTTCTTTTTTTTTTTGAGACTTGAGTCTGTCTCTGTTGCTTAGGCTAGAGAGCAGTGGTGAGATCTCGGCTTACTGTAACCTCTGCCTCCAGGGTTCAAGTGATTCTCCTGCCTCAGCCTCCGAAGTAGCTGGGATTACAGGGACCTGCCATCGTGCCTGGCTAATTTTTGTGTTTTCAGTAGAGACCCCTGTCTCTACAACACATTCACCGTGTTGGTCAGGCTGGTCTCAAACTCCTGACCTCAGGTGATCCACCTGCCCTGGCCTCCTAAAGTGCTGGGATTGCAGGTGTAAGCCACCATGCCCGGCCTGGTTTTCTTTTTTTTAAACAATTTCTTTTTTTAGAGGTGGGGTTTCACTGTATTGCCCAGGCCGGACTCAAACTCCTGGGCTCGAGGGATCCTGTCACCTTGGCCTCCTGAGTAATTTCACTTACAGGTGCCTGCCATCATGCCAGGCTTAACCATTGCCCTTTTTGAAAAGTTTTCCAGGTGGTTTGAATGTGCAGTCAGGATGAAAGCCCCCAGGGACATTTGGCAATGTCTAAATACATTTTAGGTTGTCATACCTGGGGGTGCTCCTGGCATCTAGTAGGTGGAGGACATGGATGCTGCTTAAACATCCTACAACACTCAGGACAGCCGCCCCCACCAACCCCCAAAGAATGATCCAGCTCCAAGCGTCGATGGGGCCACGGTTGAGAGCCCTGAGCGAAGGAGCACCCCGGAGGCTGGAGACAGATGCCACAGCTGGAAGGCAGAACCTGATAGTTCGGGAGACGGGTTAGAAGAAGTTCCACGGAGGCAGGATTGAGTGGGCAGGTAAGAGATGTGTTGAAAACAAAAGCAGTCAGACTGGGCAACGTACCAAGACCCATCTCTACAAAAAAATTAAAAACATAGCTGGGGGCCAGGAGCCATGGCTCACGCCTTTATCCCTGCACTTTGGGAGGCCAAGGTGGGTGGATCACTTGAGCCTAGGTATTTGAGACTAGCCTGGGCAACATGGTGAAACCCTGTGTCTACCAAAAATACAAACACACACACACACAAATGAGCTGGGCGTGCTGGCAGGCATCTCTAGTCCCAGCTCCTCGGGAGGCTGAGGTATGAAAATCACCTGAACCTAGGAGGCAGAGGTTGCAGTGAGCTGGGATTGTGCCACTGCACTCCAGCCTGGGTGACAGAGCCAGAACCTGTCTCAAAAAAAAAAAAAAAAAAAAATTAGCTGGGCAGGGTGGCACTTGCCTGTAGTCTTAGCTATGGGACGCTAAAGTGGGAGGATCACTTGTGCCCAGGAGTTTGAGGCCACAGTGAGCTATGATCGTGCCGCTGCACTCCAGCCTGAAAAAAAAAAAGGGATAAAAAAGCCCATTCAACAGAAGTTGGCCACATCTTGGCTGGGGTCGCCTGGAACAATTCCCAGGCTTTTGACCAGGGTGGGAAGAGCAGATTTCGGTGAAAGACTACGAAGCACTGGTTAGGGCATAGTGCTCGTGTCTGAGCGTCTGGGAGACATTGGGCGACAGCGGGAGGGTGGCTGGACTCTGTGTGGCCAGGCTTATTAGCAGGAACACATCCTCCTCTGTTAGAAAAACAACTCTGCAGTTCTGGGTCACTTTTCCCATCTCTGTATAGAAAAGTACCGATTGTTATTGTTCCCCCGGGTGCCTTCTCCAGCTTAAAGGAAAATTCCAGCCCCAGAGATCTTCCGCCGTGAGTGACAGCTCCTTAATGTGAGGAGCAGCGTGGGCGTGGTGGGTGGGATGTCAGATCCATCAAAGCCCTCATTCCTGATCCCTCTGTGATGTCGGGGTTCCCTGGCACGCCCACTGTCATGCCTCAGCACGTTGGCATCTGAGAGGGGAAAGGTGCAGCTGACACCCTGACACCCTTCTCCCCAACACGGGGTCAGACAGGGTCCCGCGGTAGCCTGGTTGTGCAGCACTGACATGTTGCCTGGGAACGAAGCGGGGCTGATGCTTTGTCTTGGGAGGAGCTGGGAAGCAGAGTGCGTTTGGGAGTGAGAGTGTTGGCTTTGAGGGTGAGGATGCCCCCGAGGACACAAGGAGGAGAGTGCAAGGTCTGCTGAAGTTTGCAGCAGAATAGCAAGGGCATCTCACTCCCTGGAGAACTCAGGAGACAGTTCAGATTCTCCCCTCTCTGTGCAGGGGAAGGGATGTTTCTGATTGAATATAGGACACAGAGTCTGTATGAGTTTGTAGGACCGTTGTCACAAAGAACCATAGACTGAGTGGCTTAAGCAACAGATACTTCTTTGCTGACAGTTCTGGAGGCTGGAAGTCTGAGATCAAAGTGTGGCACGGTTGGCTTCTCCTGAAGCTTCTCTCTTTGGCTCGCAGATGGCTGCTCTCTCTCTGTCCTCGCATCATCTTCCCTCTGTGTCTCTCTGTGTCCTAATCTGTTCTCATAAAGACACTGGTCATAGGGGATTAGGGTCCACTCCGTGACCTCATTTCACCGCTTTATTTTATTTTTTTATTTTTATTGAGACTGAGTCTCGCTCTGTCGCCCAGGCTGGAGTGCAATGGCGAGGTCTCGGCTCACCGCAACCTCCGCCTCCTGGGTTCAAGAGATTCTTCTGCCTCAGCCTCTCGAGTAGCTGGGACTACAGGTGCCCGCCACCATGCCTGGCTAGTTTTTTTGTATTTTTAGTAGAGACGGGTTTCACCATATCGGCCAGACTGGTCTTGAACTCCTGACCTCTTGATCCGCCCGCCTGGGCCTCCCAAAGTACTGGGATTACAGGCATGAACCATATGCCCAGCCTCATTTTTACTTTTTTGAGACTGAGTCTCGTTCCGTGACCAGGCTGGAGTGCAGTGGCTCGATCTCGGCTCACTGCAACCTCTGCCTGCCGGGTTCAAGCGATTCTTCTGCCTCAGCTCCTGAGTAGCTGGGATTGTAGGTGCCTGCCACCACTCCTGGCCTGCCTTTATTTATTTATTTATTTATTTATTTATTTATTTATATTTTTAATAGAGATGAGGTTTTGCCATGTTGGCCAGGCTGGTCTCAAACTCCTGACCTCAAATGATCCACCCATCTCAGCCTCCCAAATTGCTGGGATTACAGGCATGAGCCACTGCACCTGGCCTCATTTCACCTCTTTAAAGATTTTATCTCCAAAAGCAGTCACGTTCTGAGGTACTGAGACTTAGGACTTCAATGTACGAATTTGTAGGGGGACGCAGTTCAGCCCATAGAGCTAGAGTTCTGTGGTTTCCTGGGGTGACTGAGGAGACGCCTCAGAGGAATTTGTACGGGGAAAGGTCTGAGGAGAAAGGATCGGGATCCCAATGGGCCGAACTCCCTCAAAATGTTCCTGAGGTTCACGTGACATTCCCTCCTCCCACCCAGCCCTTCTTTCTGTGAAGGGTGACACACCTGCTAGAAAGAAATCTGACTCCCCTCATTGTGTTTTAAAAATAACTCTCATTATTCCTCCTCTGAAGGTTATTTTCAAAGTCTTTATAACTCGATTTTTTTTAAATGCAAAGACAAGGAATCAAATCTGCCAACTTTCTATCGGAGAAACTCAGGTTTCTAACTTTTAAAGTGGGATTATATGTCTTCTCCAATATATGGACTCCCTGTCTTTATAACATGCTGTTGTTACATCTAATAAAAACCATTTTGAATGAAGGCAGCCTTTCATCCGGCAGCTAATGTGGGAAAAAGGAGTCTTGGGCCCTCATATTAGAAAACCTTGGCCGGGCATGGTGGTTCACACCTGTAATCCCAGCACTTTGGGAGACCAAGGCAGGCGGATCACGAGGTCAAGAGATTGAGACCATCCTGGCAAACATGGTGAAACCCCGTCTCTACTAAAAGTACAAAAATTAGCTGGGTTTGGTGGTGTGCACCTGTAGTCCCAGCTACTTGGGAGGCTGAGGCAGGAGAATCGCTTGAACCCGGGGGGCGGAGGTTGTAGTGAGCCAAGATCCGCCACTGCACTCCAGCTTGGCAACAGAATGAGACTCCGTCTAAAAAAAAAAAAAAAAAAAAAGAAAAAAAAGAAAAAAAAGAAAATCTTGGCCAGGCGTGGTGGCTCACACCTGTAATCTCAGCACTTTGGGGGGGCTGAGGCGGGCAGATCACAGGAGTTTGAGACCAGCCTGGGCAACATGGTGAAACCTCGTCTCTACTAAAATACAAAAAATTAGCGTGGGGTGCGTGTCTGTAGTCCTGGCTACTTGGGAGGCTGAGGCATGAGAATCGCTTGAGCCTGGGAGGTGGAGGTTACAGTGAACCAAGATCGGGCCACTACACTCCAGCATAGCTTAGGCTATGGAGTGAGACTCCGTCTCAAAAACAAACAAACAAACAAAAGAAAATCAGGCACTTCTTGGGTACCATGGAGACCTGAGGTCACAGTTAGTGGAGAGCTCCAGAAGGAGTCACTCCCGCAACCTGTTGGCTCCTTCGTTCCCTGGGCCACTCCCAGGAGCAGCAGCTCTACCTCCCAGCGCCCCGCAAACACCCTCCTGGGGTTGTCTCTTTGCTCCCCTCATTGCTGCTGGACCTACAGCTGACCCAGTGACCTCAGATGCCGCCAAGTCCTGACACTGCAGATGGCCGAGGACTATGGCTCTGAGTCCTTGTTCCAAAGACAATTCTGTGAGCCGAGGATGTATCCGTGCAGAGGAGGCTGACAGTCAGTCTTGCACTGGGAGTCCCTGGAGCTGCCTGGGTTCTACACGCTGGCTGGCTCTGTGCTCAGAGTGGCCTCAGCTGTGTACCTGCCCTTGGCCCATTTCTCGAAATCATGGTTCAGCTGCAAATGCTGGTTTAGCAACAAAGATTGAAGTAGGGAATCTCACCCCTCAGCATCAAATTAGGACATGGTCCCACGCTCCTTGGGAAGGTGGGAGCCTTCCAGCTTCAGGCTGCCTGAGTGACAGGCGGCAGGTAGCATTTTTCCACTTCAGGACTCCCTTGAATGACCCGTCACCTTGAATGCACCTGGATCATTCTCTCTCTCGTTTAAAAACTTTTTTTTTTTTTTGAGACAGAGTCTCACTGTGTTACCCAGGCTGGAGTGCGGTGGCGTGATCTCAGCTCACCGCAACCTCCACCTCCCGGGTTCAAGTGATTCTGCTGCCTCAGCCTCCTGAGTAGCTGGGATTACAGGCATGTGCCATCACACCTGGCTAATTTTTGTGTTTTTTTGTAGAGATGGGGTTTCACCTTGTTGGCCAGGCTGGTGTCGAACTCCCGCCCTCAAATGATCTGTCTGCTTCACCCTCAAAGTGCAGGGATTACAGGCGTGAGCCACTGTGCCCGGCCTCTCTTTAAAAATTTTTTATTTTATTGCGGTAAGAACATTTAACATGAGATCTACCCTTTCAAAACTAAGTGCATAATACAATATTGTTGACTTGAGCTACAATGTTGTACAGTACATGTCTAGAATGTATTCATCTCATTTAACTGAAAGTTCTTTATGTCTGTTGAGTAGCAACTCCCCGTTTTCCATTCTCCCTGACCCCTGGCAACCACCATTCTGATATTTGATCTATGAATTCGTCTATTCTAGGTACTTCATGTAAGTGGAATGTGTGGTATTTGTCCTTCTGTGACTGACCTATTTCACTTAGCATAATTAACCCCAGGTTCATCCATTTGCTTGCATATTGCAGAATTTCCTTCTTTTCAAAAGCCAAACAATGTTCTTTTGTATGCATAGAACACATTTTCTTTGTTCATCTGATAGTGGACACTTAGGTTATTTCCACATTTTGGCTAACGTGAATAGTGCTGCAGTGAACATGGGGGTGCAGGTATCTTTTGCAGAGCCT